GAATAAATTATCAAGTGTCCAAAATAAAATCTTTAATTTTTTTTCTTTTAGAATAATAAAAAATTTATATGAAAAGAAAACCGATAAAAGTAATTTAAAAATAATGTATGTAAATTACTTGCTTCTTTAAGAGGACGTGTCACCAAAACGTGTACTCGTGCAACGGCCGATAGGATACGCTGTTAAATATTTTCACGTTCTGCAAACGCGTAGCGTTTAAGTCACGTTTACTACTCGCAATGAGTGGCGACGAGTGTATGTTCGGGAACGCCGTTTATTTGTTTATGAACGTTCGTTTAGTTATAAAATTCATTATGCTCAAATGCCGCTGTTATATTTTCAACACCCTTCGCGTACCTACGAACTACCGATAATTTTACAGTTTTCTGGTCGTTTTAACCGTAAAATATTTTTACATTTGTATTAGTTTCTCATTTTTTAACGACTCTTTTTGCTTCCAAAATCTTTGCTCGTGTTTCTACTTTCTTTTATCGGTAAGAGAAACAGCTAAGGCAAGAGCTTTATATTAAAGCATTGTCCAAATTGTTATCGGAAATTATTCGAAAAACTGCACTTAAAATGTACGAATCATAAAGGAACGAATTGAAACCGTAGAAAAGTTACCGATTCATCATTTGATTACGGACCGGGTTATCTGATAATCAAGCGGATCATGTGTTGTATTGTTCAACAATATTGATAGGTCGGTGGACGTCGATATGTTCATCGATATTTCGATACGATAAAATTGATCGTGTTTGTTAGCGGGGGCAGAGCTCTACTCAGAGAGACTCGATTCGTCGACGTTCCGGTCGACACGCGAACAGGCGCACGAGTTCCGCAAACGCGTCGTGTACGTTCCTCGTGGCCGCCGTTATCGATCGTTTACATCGCTTCCGCGCACGCCCAGGGACGGAACCACAGTTGGAGAACTGTGGGTCGAGCGATTTTCAAGAGGCCGTTTATTAGGGCTGAAACCGTATTATTAATGTGTACTGCAAGATCGTATAATACGTGCATTTAAGTTAGTTCATAATTATCGGTGAAAACGTACACGTTTATTTTATTTCATGGAGTCTTACGTGGCTCGGAGATGTTTTACTGTACTACACGATTAAACCGATGAATGACGTCATTAAACCTAAGTGTGAATCTCGACCCATAGTCGGCGTGCACGCTTAAAAAATATATGAAGCGTTTAACGGGCCGATTTTGTCAGCAAATATTAACCGTGGGTCCTGAACCCCATAGATTCGCCTTTGCGCGCGCTGAAACGTTTGCCGTTACTGTCCGCTCACGTCCCTACGCGGGTTACGCGCGCACTTTCTACCGGCGTCGACCGCGACGTTCCCGTCCGACGAGAGCGGTTCGGACGCTACCAAGAGCGTTGACGCCGAACACTGTAGCTCTCGGTTCGTAGTGCGCACGAGTGTAACTCGACCGATGTTGAAAAAACAACAGTAATGACACGTACATGTCCCCACCGTCCATACTCATAGTTTTTTATTTTTTTTTTTTTTTATCGAAGTTGTGCAGAAATTCCGGAAACGGTGGTAGGAATCCACAGGAATGGAGCACTAAATGTTGGCGTCGGAAGAAGTTGAAAAATTAAAATGGATGGAAGTGGTGACATGTACGTGTTAATGATTTTTCGGAACGTCTATGATATTTTCGACAGAGTCCGTTTGTCGGGTCGGAAAGCATATTAGCATTCTGAGGTCGGTCTCGGCACCGGTTATCATTTTAGCTTTCTGATTGGTCGTTTGATTTTGCCATGTTTTTTAAAAACTGTTATCTGGTATTATGTGTTATTTAATATTATCATATTGCAGTGCATATTTACTATTTTTTTTTTTTTTTATAAAGTGTGAATATAAATAATCTTTAAAAAGGTTTTTACTTTTTACTTTTTGTAGATAGCTTTTTAAGTAAAATATCATAAATCCAAAAGTTTCTTAAAATGTTTAAATTAGTGGAATTTGATGATAATTCATTTCGTTCTAATATGTTTTCACACACCAGCTTGTATTAGTATTTTTACAATGAATACTAATCCAGGTACAAATATCTTGTTCGAAAAACATATTAGAACGAAATTAATTACTATCAAATTCCATTAATTTAAGCATTTTAAGATACTTTTTGACTTATAATATTTTATTTAAAAAACTACCTACAAAAATTCAAAAGTAAAAACCCTATTAAAGATTATTTATATTCATACTTTATGATAGTATCATAAATAAATAAGCATTGCAATTCGATAATATTAAATAACACATAATACTAGATAACAAGGCTATAGATAATACTTTTTAAAAAGCACGGCAAAACCAAACGACCAATCAGAAATCTAAAATGATAACCGGTGCCGAGACCGACCCCATAATGCTAATATGCGGTCAGGAATCGTTAGCATGGGACACTCTGTTCGAGCGTACCACGAGCGGACGGGTACGAAACGTACGTAAATGCGATGGTGCCGAAGTCGGTTCGGAGCTGTACGAAAACACGGTACATACTGTCCAATCCGGGATCCCACGTTTTATCTAAGACAGGGATTATTTTGCGCATTTGGAAAATCTAAATGCGTACTTGATCGTAAACATTTGCGTGATTGATTTTTAATTGAATGTTGTTTAATGTTATTTTATACATTACATTATGATTTATGAACAAAGTGAAAAGGACATTTATTAAAAAAAAATACTTTGAACGCGAATGCAAATT